ACTCATTTTACAAAAATCAAAGTTTGACAAAGATCATTTCTGTTTGTTCACTACAACAGTGCCTGCCACAGAGTGGGTGCTTAATGAATATTCATGAATATTTGAACGAATTCATCTTTTCACTTCTCAAGTGCTTGCTGAATGCCTAATCCTGGTGTCTGAGATCCTAGAAGGAAATTCCACTGTAAATCAAACAAAACTACATTGTGAGAAATCTTTCAGTTAGAAGAATGAGGCAATATTGTCCCACTGTACATTTTGTCTAAATTTAAAATAAGATGGCTCCCCATCTGCCCAAGAAGGAAGACAAGGGAAAATGTAGGTCAGTGTCTCTTAAGTCCCCAAATGAACTCAGGTGAGAAATGCAACATCTGGAAAATGATTGTAGCTACCGAAGATAGTACTCACAATCCTTATGATGGTGGCTCAGCTCCACACACACACACACACACACACACACACAGGAATGCATGTAAAACCAAAGAAATCTGCACCAAGCTGGTAGACTACGCCAATATCAATTTTCTGGTGTGATACCACATCATAATTATGCAACAAGTCCCTAGGGAAATCAGTGAAGTGTATAAGAAATCTCTCTGTATTATTTCTTACAACTTCAAGCCAATCTACAATTATTTAAAGATAAGTTAACAAAAATAGAATTAAGCTGCAGGACGCTTATCAAAACATCTTTATGTCAGCAAAATGTTGGAACCAAGATAGACGCTCAGTAATGTGGTAAAACTATATGACTGTAATTAACCTAGAACAGTTAAAAATAATACAAGTCTGCTGGTGACATGGGAGGGTGCTGACATTCAGTAACAAAAGAGGTGGGATTTACAAAGTATGCAAGCACAGTTTCCTCTCTGTGTACAAAGGACAGGATCTGTAAAGGTGTATACCAAAATGCCATCAGTGTCTCTCTCTGCCTGTTAGGATCATAGGTGACTTGTAGTTTTCCATACTGCATTTCATATTTCTACTTTTTCTCTAAAATGAGCAGTATTACCTAATAAATATCTAAAAGGTCAAGTGTCCTATGGATGGAGCTCAGGTGACTCCTGTATGGTTCTAGAAGGAAAAACAAGACAAACAACTACATGGCAAGGCATTTCAGTTCTGCAGAAGGACGAATGAGCTACCTATGAGAACCACAGAACATCAACCACCACCTTACAAGCCTGTGGCCTCCAGTGGGCACTGAGCTCACCAGGGTCTGGTAAATTCCTTCTTAGCAAATGCATTGCTGAGTCTGGCCTATGCAGGCTGGGAGGCTGCACCCAGCTGTCTTCGAGTCCTAGAACTCTGTCATTTGATTTTGCAATGAATTTACCAGACACCACCTCTGCTTTTAAAAGCCCTTTTTATGTTTCAAAGCACTTTCACATATGCTGGTTTATATTAATTTAAATACAATCCTTAAAAAAAAAAATCCTGTCCCTGCAAATATTCTGTAGAGTAGGTAAGGTGGGCGTTATTACCTCCATTTTACTGAATTGAAAACTGAGGCAACCATAATGTAATCCTTAATATAAGGCAGGGAGAGGACAAAGATGAGTTATGAGATCACAGCTCCTTTCTACTGATTCAAAGCCCCATCTTCCCACAAGTGTTTGGAAGCTGAGTAGATCTGGCCTGAAGATGCTTGCATGACGGGTGCCAGTTGAATGAAAGATGTCAAATGATTAGCACAGATGGATAATAAGTGCCAGCAATGAATAGACCGATCTAATTGCTCCTATTAATGTACACTGACTCAACCACGGTCAAGTAAGCGGTATTTCCACTCAGCTTAAAAGTCACGACTGATCAAGCCAGCTGATGGACTTGAACAGCACGAGAGGCTGAAGAATCTCGTGGGGGAACTCAATCAGTTCTCTTGCCATGTACCTTCTCCTGACAGACAGTGAAGAAGCCCATGAGCTGGGTTTCTGGGCCAGTTCAATAGCGAAGGGGGCCCACTGTGAGCTTAATGAAGCACACCTTTGTTACTTTCACCAAAGGAATCAGCAGAGGACTTTTGTATTTATTTTGCAGTGGCAGCAGATTAAGCACTTCAGCAATAATGTGGCAATTCACCAAAAGAGGTCTTAGTTAGGTGCTATCTGAAATCATGAAATTAAGTGGGAAAACACACACAAGGAAAAGGTTTATATGTTTTAGAAAAATAAATCCAAATTTTAGTTAATGATACTCTTCACAAAGTCTATTAAACAAATGTCATATTTTCATTGGCTGATAGTGCCGTTTACACCCATGTATCATATTCTGTGTGCCAAGTTCTCTCCTGAGTGCCTCTCCTCTCAACCACTGCTTCCCAAGTTGTTACAGGAGGAGAATGGAGAGTCAGCGAGGTTAAGGGCATTTCTGCCAAGCCACACGGCCGCCAAGTAGAAGCAACAGGATCTCAGTCCAGGTCTGATGACTCCCCGAAGGTTTTCCCCAGATGTTGAAAGCACATGCTCTTTTTTGCAGGCTGGCATTGTGATGCAGTGGGCTAAGCAGCCACCTGCACCTCCAGCGCCAGAATCTCATGTTAGAGCACTGGTTTGATTCCTGGTTACTCTGCTTCTGTCCATACCCTGCTAATAATGCACCTGGGAAAGTAGCAGAAGATGGCCCAAGTGCTTGGAACCCTGCCATCCACATGGGAGATCCAGATGGAGTTCCTGGCTCCTGGTTTCAGCCTGACCCAGTCCTGACCAATAAGACCACCTGGGAAGTGAACCAGCTGACAGAAGATCTCTCTCTGTCTCTCCATCTCTCTATGTTACTCTGTCTTCAAATAAATACAACAAAACTTTTTTAAAAAGGAAAGTATATCATGTTGTTATAAACAGGAAGTAATGGAGGCTTCCATATAATGATGTAATAAATTACTTTAGGAGATATACAGTTCACCTGGAAACAGTTGGAGAACAATGAGAAAAACTAGACTGGACTTAACATAACACATACAATGAGGTTAGAGTGGGAAAGATGAACTGAAAGAAACAACTGAAAAAAATCAATGTACCTCTTTGACTACGACCTTGTCTAAATATGATCGGAGTTGGCAAACTCAAAAGGCTTCCATAGCCTTGGCAACTCATGACAAGAGTCTAGGGTGATTACTGATGCCATAAACAAGAGTGTCAATTTGTTAAGTCAACAACAGGAGTCACTGTACACTTACTCCTCATGTAGGATCTCTGTCCTTAATGTGCTGTACATTGTGATTTAATGCTATAACTAGTACTCAAACAGTATTTTACACTTTGTGTTTCTGTGTGGGTGCAAACTGTTGAAATCTTTACTTAATATATGCTAAACTGATCTTCTGTATATAAAGAGAATTGAAAATGAATCTTGATGTGAATGGAAGGGGGGAGGGAGAGGGAAAGGGGAGGGTTGCGGGTGGGAGGGAAGTTATGGGGGGGAAACCACTGTAATCCATAAGCTGTACTTTGGAAATTTATATTCATTAAATAAAAGTTAAAAAAATCAATGTATCTATATTGTTAATATATCAATATTGATATTGGCTATTAATAATAAATTACTGAGTGCGGTGATATCACAGACACTTGAAATATTTTTATTCCTAGTTACTTAACATTCAATTTCCAACATGCTATTCAAAACTGCATTCAACACTCTATTCACTCTTTCAATGACTTCTGAGTACCTATCCTATGCCTAGCACTGCTCTAGGTAGCATAATTTCTGCAGTAACTTAAATGCACAAAAGTTCCAGAATTGACAAAGGTCACATAAACTCGATGGGGAAATGAGGTAGTAGAAAGAGAGCTTGAGGTAGAAGTCTTTAGTTTTAATCCTGGCCAGATGGCCTTAAGCAAATTATTTGAAGCTCTCTGATTCTCAGTTCCCTTACCTCTAAACTGAGTATAATAATATCAGTTTTTATTAGGAAAAATGCTAGTTTACATGTGAAAAACATATTTATTCTTTGGTCTTGAAGAAACTGAGGTAGTTGATGAGGCATAAAAGTTTTGTCCTCATTATTAAAACCTTCAAAATATTTCATTCCATTTTTTCCCCATGATCTAAGCTTTCTGGTTTAATGTTAACCATGTGTAAGACTTGCTGGGTCATGATAAGGTCAGTCCTCCATACCTAGCCACCAATTTCAAAGTCTGTGTTACAGGCTTAAGATGCCATAATTATGGACATTTCCCATTATTGTGGAAGGAAGTTAGATTTAAATTATATCTTGCTGATTATTTCATTTCAAAACTTAGAGAGAGGCATGCTGCTTCTTGACTGGTTCTTTAGGACAAATCCATTGCAGTTGATTACTGCTAAAGACCTTTCAGTGATTTTCCTTCCCATGTTTTTCCAGGATGCGGGAAATAAGAGCTGGGTCTAAGTGGGTGTGTCGCAGGATCACAGGAAAGACCAGTTGCAGCACTCAGTTACACTTTATGACGAAACTGAAGAAAGCAATCGGTTCTGACCCAATCTTCCTCCATTACCTACATAACCTCCCATGAGGCGGAGTGTGGAAAGGAGCTGGGAGATTTACAATCAACCCAGGAAATCAGATTTCTTCTTTCTAAACCAAGAGGTGCCAACCTTGAGATTCTGAGTCAACACAAGCCAGGCCTTGAACACGAGTGAAGAGAACGTAATTAGACAAGTTACGGACACAATTAGAAAATGTCCCCTCAGAAAAGTTCCCTTGCAACTTGGAGCAGCGTGCAAATTCCCACTGCGCTTCACGAGGCCTCTGTCTCTCGGCTGGCTTAGACTTCCGTGACAGACCCATGAAAGACGAGCGTGGTCCACAAAACACAGACATGCAACCTCCAATGCTGGATATAATTTTTTAAAAATAACAGATGTGGAAAATGTGCAAAGTCATAGTTTATAAAATATAAGGACTGTAGTCTCAGAAATGACTGAGTGTTAGCTAATTTTTTCTTTGTCCTCCACCTTCCCCGCCCTCCAAGATTGGTTAGAAGAGCAAGATGACAAAAGTAAAGATGGGCACTCACTTCATCTCCAGGATCTCCTCCAGCTGTTTCCTCCTCTCTATCCGGAGGTTGGCCAAGTGGGCTTCCTTCTCAGCCAGGGACTGCTGGGTGGAGGCGAGGCGCGCCTTGGTGGCATCCAGTTCCTGTCTGGTCTTCTCCAGCGCATTCATCAGCTCCTCTATCTGAAAGGCACACGGAGCCTCTGAGTTACTATTCCTTCATTCAAGCAAAAGGCATTCCTTGCTAGCCTGTGTTGTGATGGGAAACACAAAGTAATGGTAACTGTCCTTGAATTAGGCAAGGTGTCTTGGAATTCCCTTCTTTGTCACTGGTTAAAAAAAACTTCCAAATGCATACACATGCACACACACAAAGTCTAAATTTCTCCAAAGTCCACATGCAGCTGGATTGCCCACAAACCTTTATAAAAACTATTTAACGTATTTATTAGAAGTCGGGGGTGAGCTGCTTGACCTAATGTCAACCAGTGTTTGGCTACTTCCCCACAGTTGGGAGGAAGGTAACAGTTTGAATGCATTTTGCGCAGACAATACACTTTTGTGTGTAGGCCTCAGGGTAGTTTGACAGGAAGTTAATCCACATGTTTTAGAGTCATTCATGTTTTTACCTATCAAAGCCTGGTTTGGCAATAGCTGTTTGATGTCCATGAGGCCTCAGGAGCCCTTCTCACCTCACCTCCCTGCCTTACATACAGGAAGCAAGATTCGGCCAAAGGTAAACAGAACTCCAGCCACAAAAGGTTCAAGTTTGGTTTGCTCCTGAAGTTTGAGAGGGTTCTAAACGTGAAATAAATGACATGTAACTTTTATAGGGTGCTAATACACCATAGGAATAAGCCACACTATCAGATATCCCGGATTTTCAGCCAGGTCCCAAAAAATTGGACCAGGGAGCCCTAAAGCAAGGCCTCATCCTCCCAAAACCACTGAGGACTTTTAAAATCCAACACACAACAAAGAGGACTGGTATTAATGGTTTTGTTCCAGAGACTTCCGTGGAGTAAGCTGGTAAAATCCCATCCCTTGCATAGACAGACCCTATCCACCCTGCTGATTCAAAATCATAGTTCCAGGAAGTTTCTAGATTCCAGGGCTGATATTTGGGTTTCTAAGTCACCCCTTCCAGCTAAACTTGGCAGAATGGACTCATCCATCACTAAAGTCAACAGAGCACCCTTCAGAATGTGTCAATGATATGTTAAGTTCCAATTCATAAAGACTTTCTACACAATTTCTGCAGTTTTACATGGAATTTACTCAGAATAAGCATTATAGTTCTCGTCCAAGATAAATTACATGCTTTTAAGACTCAGAAAACCCTCCTTCTAGCCCTGATAAAAAGAGGAAACTTAATGACCATGTAATTTAAATCAAAGCCAAAACCAAAAAACAATTTCAAATGTGAGGAACAGAAAAGATAACCTATGAAAGCCACAGAACCACACCTGTTTAACTGCAGAATAAAGGACATAATTCTCTAGTTCTTCAAGTACATACACTTTAAAAAGCAATCATAAACATTTCAGTCCACAGAACCTCACATATGTGACTAGATGTTCTGTATGAAGCGATTCGTGCTGATGCTAAAGTCGAGTTTTGAGTTTTCCTCCATTATCCTGTTTTGTTTTGTTTTTGTTTGTTTGGTTTTTTTTGTTTGTTTGTTTGTTTTTGTATTAGCTCAACATCAGAATTATGGTCATTCTGTGAGTCAATCCTAATTCTCTGCCTGACTGTCAATATGAGATGGCCTGTGTCCTCATGACTTCTTTTGCTGTCACAAATATTTCTTTATTTCAAACATCCAATTGACTCCACAAGAGAGGGGAGATCTCCAGGATTCTTGCCTGCTGAAATCTCTCTCATTGGTGGAAGCTGACCTATCTGCAATCTACGCGCACAGAGCTAATTACCTGGTTTTCCATGTTCTTAGCATACCTGCCACCAGACTGCCTGGAGGCAGACACTAGCTAGTTTCACATCAACTCAACTTTCAACAGTTATACTTTAGAGTAATAATCTGCAGGGTAATCCAGTCATTTCAACAACAACCACATGGGAAAACTGGAGAACCCAAGAGATATAATATAGAGTTTACACTCATAGAGCTGTCATTGTTCTCCATCAAAAACTGCAAGTATCAGATAAAACTGTTATTCTCCACACCTTGGTTTTGAAACAGCTTCCCAGGCCAAGGCTGTCTACTCATTCCAATTCATGTTTCCCCGTGCAGTGTGCATGGCACACACATGGGGCTGTCCCCTCTGCTGCCCAAACAGGGGCATTATAGAGCAGGGCCATTTTCCCTGCTGTAGTGGTGGTCAGAGTGGTTCGCTGTATTTCAGTCTTTTCCCTGTAGGCACATGGGAGGGAAGATACTTTATTCTCCCTTTAGTCGGGTATGGCTACTGCCAACAAAACCACTCTCATTCCCAGGTGGAAGCATTTTAATACTAGTCCTCAACTTCACTCATCCCTTTTCCACGCCACAGTGACTGCAGATGCCTACACAGACAATGTCCCCTCCAGCCTGAGTCCCTGAGTAAACACAATGAAGTCCAAGGCTGACCCACACCACATAAGCAAAATACAGAGCTTTCCTGTGCAGCACCAAAGACTGAAGGCTGCCTGGTAGTCCCAGCACAGCACAGTCCACCCTGACTGTAGAACTGTCCAACTTCTCATCAAGTGCTCTGGGTCTCCTTCCCTCTTCCCACCATCAAAAGGAAACTGCTTGTTATTCTTGCTTTCCCATGGAAATTCTATTCTTTCTGGTCACTTCTATCTTGCCAGCTGTCTTTTCTTAAAGTCTAACTAGCCTTTGCCATGTTTTTTAAAAGACTGATGTATTTCAAAGGTGGGGGGGGGGCACACACAGATAGAGAATTCCTATCCACTGGTTCACTCTTCAAATGGTTACAATAGCCAGGGCTGGGCCAGGACGAAGTCAGGAACTAGGAACTCCATCTGGGTCTCCCACATGAGTAGCACTGGCCCAAGTACTTGGCCATCTTCTGGTGTTTTCCCAGGAGCATTAGAGAGCTGGACTGGAAGCGGAGCCTAGGGGACTGCAACCAGTGCTCTAATATTCGATGCCAGTGTTGCTAGCAGCTGGCTTACCCCACTGTGCAACACCACTAACCCCATAAACATTTGTCTTCTTAACTGTATTCATAACAACCAATAGAAGCACCTAACACAGATGCCCTGGGCACAGTGGTATCCCCAAAGTAAGAATCTAACCAACATTCACTGAATGCTAGAATGATCTTCAAGTCCTGATATTCAGAACTAGTCACTAGCAAGGAGCTGGACCTGCACTGGAATAGCCAGGACTCGAAGTAGCAATCTGATATGGGATACTGGCATTGCAAGCAGAGGCTTAACCTATTGTGCCACAACACCAGTCCCAAACTTGAGTGTCTTAAACATTGCCCCAAATTTATCTGCTTCTTCACTGAAGAAACATTTTAACCTGATCAATATACAGTAGTGTGTGTCTTAAAAACCATCAGGTTAGAGTCATGACATCATTTACTGTGTGACTAACACAAGTCCCTTCTCTGTCTTAGTTTTCTCATCTGTAAACAGCAGACCATGTTGCTTGCCTTTTAGATTTATGTGGGCACATTAAGTGACATGATATAGCCCCAAAGCCATTTATTGGCCCTACTTTTTTTCCGAGAAGATGAAGAATAAAGCATTATATGGAACCTATAAGACACAGAACTAAAAAGTTAATTTTTTCCTTTTATTTAAGATTAAATAACATTATTTTTAGTTAACACTCTCTGATTCCCATCACCTAGAGAAAAATATCATAAACATTTTATTATAATTTCTCCAACTCTGTATACTTATACAACTGAGATCATATATATACATATGCAAATAAATATATGTTTGTAAGCAACTCACATGTCATGAACATTTGCCTTTTGTCATGAAAGAGTCTTTTGGAAATGCAGTTTTATTTAGTGAATCTTCTCTAATCACTCCTTATTTTCCTGAAATTGACCTTTCTCTTAATGTTATAGCTGGATGTTTGTACCCCATCCAAAATATACTGAAATCCTAACCCCAAGGCGGTGGTATTAGGTGGTATGGCTTTGGGAACTGATTTCATGGGATTATTATGCCTTTATGAAGGAAGCACAAGGGAGATGCTTGCCCCTCCCAGCCTGTGAGAACACAGTCAAAAGTCAGCAGTCTAGCCTAGATGGGGGTCCCCACCACAACGTCAGCAATGTGGTGCCAGGATTTTAGGACTTCCCAGCCTCCAGAATGGTGAGAAATAAATGTCAGCTGTGTCTAAGTTGTTCAATCTATGGCATTTTGCTAGGGCAGCATGAATGAAGGAAGGCACAGGAACCTGGTTGCTCTGTTTCTTTTGCAAACTCATATTCTCCCTGCAGTTTATAACTGGGCCCTTCTCCTCGTGACTCTGTCCTAGAGATTATCCTCACCCATGGAGACACCCGGGTGGCAGACTGAGGTCTTTCTCCTCAGCTGTCACCTCTATGCAGCTACCTCACCAACCTTTATCTCCTTTTGCTCACTTGACCTCATTCACAGGCACCCAAGCACCTGTTGATCACTTCCACATGGAAGTCCAAATCTCAGATATGTTGAGGATGACCAAACGCCAACTCTTGATCTATGTACACTTGCCTAAACCAAATCTCTACCACCAACAGCACCATCCAACCTGCCACTCCCTAACATCTACCATTTGCTTCTAGTGCCACGACCTTTCCTCAGTCACTCTTGTGTAAGACTTCAGAGTCACATTTGTCACTTCCTTCCTTCTCCTTTCTCTTTTGCTTCCCATTCATCACCAAGTATCACAGATCTATTTTAAAACACTTCTTGGACCTTTGATTCTCTTCTGTCATTACTTTTGACACTCCAAGCTCAGGTCTTTTCTCCTCTGACATGTATGACAAGGTTGGAATGAACTCGACATATATACAGATGAGTAGATATCGACATGTGTGTGTGAAAACATGCATGTTTATATGCATATGTGTTCCCAGACTCTGTCTCTACCCCCACCTAATCCAAGTCAGGACAAAGCTGTTCCTGATCAGCTTCTTCCCTACCAGAACACATTTTCTTCAGCCAGGTTTGCTCCTGTTTACCCTGGGATTTTATGAGTCATAACT